GTAAGATATATTGGATATATTTGTGAAAAAGCTAAATAGCTGACGATTAAAAAGCTTATGCTAAGAATGACAATTCTGTAGGATTATGCGTGATTGAAAGAAGGCAGGGTTACTAGCCAGTTCTAGAAAATATGACTGGCATAACTACAATACTTCATGTAAATCTGGTTTTCTAAATGATATGACTATGGGGACTTTAACATTCATTGGTTGGAATCCTTTGGCACTTGGCAGATACACAGCTGTACACAGCTGAAAGAAGTCAGGGTTACTAGCCAGTTCTAGAAGATATGACTGGAATAACTACATGTAAATCTGGTTTTCTAAATGATATGACTATGGGGACTTTAACATTCATTGGTTGGAATCCTTTGGCACTTGGCAGATACACAGCTACTTTTAGCTTGCTAGCTGTCTGGGAACTGGTGAATTAAAATGTTTATTAAGGTTTTCATTTAACCTCTTACAGAAGTGCTGCTTTTTAATCCACTCCTGCCTGTTCTGTTGTAATCTTTATTATTTTTTCTTCATAGATTACTACCTTCATTATTTTGTATTGTTTTTCTTTTACATTTTCCTCTTATACTATTTTCCTTGTATTTGTTAATTTCTGATTGTGTTCTATATTTCTGCTATTTTTCTGGATTCAGACCCACAATTCCTCCCAAAATAATGATGCAAGCTATATTTATATATATTAGCTAAGTGGCACGTGATGTTAAGATAGGCCTAGAATGTTCTATGTTGTTTTCAACTTTTTCTTGTACAATCGAAGCTAGATTATACATACGAGATAGTTTTGAAGGTCTAAAGTTAATTCCAGATAGAGACTTGAGTAAGTAATTGTGTTTTTGTGAAATATTTGAGTCTATGTTAGCTAACGTACTTATTGAGATATTTTATACAAGTAAGATGAATTTTCATGTTAGTGTAGTGTAGTTAGAATGATGAACGTGGTCTACAACTTATCACAGTGTTTAAACTTGTAGCAATGTTAAAGGATGAAATAAGTTACTTTGTATTAGTGTAGTACAGCTAGAGTGACTTTAAACGTAGGGCTACAACAAGTTACAAAGTGTACAAGTCTGTA